TTAATGGTATTTACACATCTAGCTAGCATAGTGGTTTACTCACAACAAATGGTACTGTCTGCCTTCAGGAGATCAGGTTTTTGTAGTTAATTTGGGACCATGCTATAGATTTCTATTTTATTTTCTCTGCTGATCTGTGCTAAGTCCACCACCACAAACACCCAAGTTCCTCCCTGTATGCAGATAAACTTTGTGCATGGGATACCCACAGTTGTTCTTTACCTGTAGTAATGTCTTTAGGCTTGTGATGAGAAGGATGCCATGCAGCAACAATCTGTACAAGTCATACCAATCATTTATGTTGAGACTGACACTTCTCTTTTTATTCCTAGCTGCTACTAGTTTGTGTTAGAAGATAAAAGTATGCGTGGTGTGAAGAGGGTACATGTAATAGCTACATTTAGAAAGAGCAAATGTTGCAGCAAATCAAAGATTGAAACCTTGTGCTCATCCTAAACAAATGGCTTTGTATTATAGGGAGAGATTTAAATACCACTAGAGACGTTAAAAAGATTTAAAATAAAAATAAAGCAAAACCAACAAAATGCTACTATACCATGCAACTATGCATTAGTACAGCAGAAAACACCTTATCATAAAATCACAGAAAGTTAGGGTTGGAAAGGACCTTAAGATCATCTAGTGCCATGGGCAGGGATGTCTCACACTAGACCCTGTTGCCCAAGGCTCTCTCCAACATGGCCTTGAACACTGTCAGGGATGAAGCATTTACTGCTTCTTTGGGTAGCCTGTTCCAGTGCTTCACCATCCTCACAGTAAAGAACTTCCTCCTTATACTTAACTTGAACTTCCCCTGTTTAAGTCTTAACCCATTATCCCCTGTTTTATCACTACAGTCCCTGATGAAGAATCCCTCCCCAGCATCCTTGTAGGCCTCCTTCAGATACTGGAAGGCTGCTATGAGATCTCCAAGCAGACTTCTCTTCTCCAGGCTGAACAACCTCAACTTTCTCAGCCTGTCTTCATATGGGAGGTGTTCCAGCCCCCTGATCATCCTCACCATGCCACAAAGCCAGTCCCAGGCTAGCCTTTGTTTGGCCTAGAAGTTGCAGCTGGAGGAATGCAAGACAAGGACAATAACAGAATTAAGTCCTACTTGCCCAAGTTTGACGGCTGTTTGCTAAACCAGCAGAGAAGAAGCCCCAGCTGAAACAAGTAGGCTTAGTTCTAAGCCAGTCATTAATGCAGCAGTCACCTTAGGAAAAACAGACCAGACTGGTGTCAATAAAAGAAACCCAAGAGATAGGCAACACAGTGCTCCTTACAGCCACTTCTGTCCTCGGCACAAACAAAACTGTTACCAAGACTGGACTTCTTTGCTTATTATTTTTCAAAGCTCAGCTGCTAATTGAGACTTGGACAGAGCAGAGGTACCAAAGGTCCTGCTGTGTAAGAGCTTATTTTGTTGAAATATAAATCTGGGAAAAAATAAAAGTTTAAGCCTGAATATGTATTTCTGATCACATCAGTACAGCGGTGTTATTACAATAGGTAAATGCAAAAAGATGCCTTCCTTAACTGACACCATCTTCCCAACTAAACATTTATGCACTCAAGAGTAGCAGTAGGACCATATAGTGGACACCCTTCCTGAGGACATGTATGTTCCTGTGAATCTGTAGACACCTCTTAGCTGCTCACCATGGTGTAAGCCTTGGTAGCTTAGGCAATGTGCTTGGCTTCTTGCCCCCTGCAGTAATTGGATGTTATTCCCAGATAGCTTTCCATATCCATGCTTTTAGGCAGTACATGGATGAGCTTAGTATTTTATTCACAGTTTCAAAGTTGTTCCACTTGAGCAGCACAGTCTGAAGAAATGCTGGTGTTGGTCTTTGTCCTTCTCTATTTGGAAATGCTATGGCAATTGGCAGGCAAGTTTGTTTTCCATCTTGAGATGGAATTTACACCACAGCTAAAGGATGCCCCTACTCATTCCAACACCCCCAAACTAGTGTTAGATTACTCCTTCAGGTGTGATGCAAGTACAGCATGGAGCCACATTCAGCTTCAGACAGATTATTTGTGGCAGAGAGTTTCAGATAAAATACCTGTGTGCATCTTGATCAAGGATCCCTCCCGCAGACCTCATTGAGTTCCCTGTTGCTGCAGATTCACTCGTCGTCTTCATAAGCTGTACTTGTAGCTTGGTTGCAATATAAAAATATTCTCCAAGTCATCCTTCAGAAACCATCTGCTTCCTGCCGTAGAGAAATAGTACCTGAGACCACTGTTCTTGAGTGGTTTCATGCCTTGGTGACTACTTCGATTTACAAACTGCTGTAGCTATATTGTCATATTGCTATATTACCAAAAAAAAGTGTGAGTTTTTGTCCAATTTCTCCTTCAACAAGATGGCCAATCCAAATCTGCTGTGGTGTGGCAGATGTTGACGTGATTCATTCAAACTCTAAAGCTGACAGTGTCTCAGTGGAGTGAACAGAAGAATGCTCTTTGCAGCTGGGGGAAAAGGATTTCAGACCATGTTATACCATCACCTTCAAAGCCTGAATCAATGACCTTAGGACTGATCTTAAGCTGATGATTAATTCTGATATTTCTGATTTATTTTTGGCCAGCCAACGTTAGCAGTTTCCCTCACATATCAATGGCAAAACAATGTCTCAATAGCAGTATAAAACCTTTAGAAAGGGAGGCTTAGTACCATGACAAGGAAAAAAAAGTGTTTTGACAGCAACTTAGAAAATAGAGTAGATAGCTATATTTAATTTCTGAAAATCTCAACTTTTATGTCACCCTCAAATAATCATAGCACAGTAGCACTAAGATATGCAGCATAAAGAAAATCAAACCTTTTCTGTAATCTTATTAGGGTTTTTTTTCTGCATTTGTTCTGTGTTAGAAATTAATAACTTTTCAGCATTTTTTTGAGGAATATTTCCTCATTTTCTGCCAGGATATGTACTATCTTACAAAGAGATACTGTGTCAGGAAATGGCAAAGATTCTCTGAAATCCTGCTTTTTCTTTTCCAGTAAGGCTTAATAGAACTGGTAGAAAGAACAGTAATATAATAGAAACAGTATATATTTTCTCTGTGGGGAATGCAAAAATGATGTATTGCTTTAAATTTCATGGGGATTTTTTTTAGCTTTTCATGAAAAAGCAATAAGACATCTGCGATAGTCTACTTAGTCTAATAAAAGTATTATTTCTTAAGGAGGCCATTTTCCTTTTATGTTTTGCTACAATTCCTATTGCAGCACTGACTGGCAGTTCATGAGAAGGAAACCATTCCAAATCTGCAGAATCTGTCTGTTTCCCTATGCAACCACTATGTTCTCTAAGCTAAAAAAATAAATAGGACAAGTAACTGTACCACTGAGACTGAGTCAGGCTCTCTGACTCAAAATCCTTTGTTAGGAAAGGTAGGTTAATAACATTTCCTAGAGACATTAGGAGGTGAGCTAGGGTTTGTGCAATAGGAGCGTACAGGTAATGTACCCTGTTCACCTTCTGTCATATCAACTAGAATCTCACAAGAACTATGCAGTGGTTGTGGGACGTATATGTAGCCTTTAAAAAGCTATTTTTTGGCTTTTCTGCATTCTTCTGAGGCTGAAGTATCACTTTCTTGATTGTTCATTGACTTTCAGGGCCAAAAGGACAGGAATCAGACATAGCACAATGCAACTAATTATGGTGCAATAGGCATCTATGCTGCAACATGGTTGTGGTTTTTTGACATAAAACCAGTTTAATGTTTGAAATAAAATACCTGTTAAAAAAGTCCCAAAGAGAAATAATCTAATAGTCAGTGCATAAATATTGTATTTAAATTAAAAAAAAAAAAAAAATTGATGAAACAGCTTTTAGCTCTAAGGCTCATGGAAATGGCAGGTACTGATTTATGGGATTGATTTAATTTCATTGGCCATTTTTAAAGTCTTCCCAAACAGGTTATAATCATGTATTATTGTCAGTAGATGGTTTTATTAACTCACAACTATATGCCTAGATGCTAATATCTTATTAGCCTGTTTAGGAGAAGCTGTTAAGGAACAGCTGAGAGGAATTTCTGAGAAACCTAAGATAAAAGACTGGATCCAGTAATTACACTCTTGCAAGAAAGCAGCAGAATAAGTGACCTTTCTGAATCAAAGCTACTACTAAGAAGAGCATAAAGGGGAGATCTTATATATTTTTTTTTTATTAAAATTTACATTTTCCTCTTTTCATTGTTTCTGCTGTAAGAATGCCTTTACAGTTGATTTCTTGAGAAGGGGCAATATGACTGATTAAACCAGGCTGCTGCAGTTTAAATATGCAACTGGTTACCATGGCAACAGTTTTTCTTTAACACACAGCTTATCTTGTTTTAAAGAGTGCATGCAGCCTGTTGTTATGGCAATTTGGAGCACCACTACTTTTTCCCCACACACAGATAATAAAATACTAGTTAAAATGAGTTCAATAATTAAAAATCCAAGCCTGCTTTAATATCTTGTGGAATGCTGTAGTTTCTCAAATTTTGCAAATAAAACTTGACTGGAGCAGAGAAAGAAAGAACCGAAGTTCATGAAGAAGTAAGGATAAAGGATTATATTTTATGCCACTGAAAGGCAAAGGTAGATTGTAGAGGCATTTTGCAGCAGATGAAATTTCACTTGTTAATCCACTCTTTTCTGCCTTCATGAAGAAACATTACTTCCCGTCTTGCAGATTTCTTCAGGAGGGAAATCTAAATAAATGGATATAGAAGGACTAATGTAAATTATCACCTGAAGTGCTTAACATTAGAAGCAGGGTGAATATTCTAATTGAAATTTCATAAACAGTAGCAGTAAATGATCAGAATTCTGCCCTAAAATAAACCTTTTTCAAAAAAACCCACATTCTTTAAGAACCTAAATATACACTCTTCTCCCTAATTATACATACATTTCACATTACAAGATAAGTAATGATGCAGAAGACTGAATATTTTAAATAAGAATGAAATCTATGTGTTGTTTGCTACAGGCATATTGAATAAGACCCTACACTTTGATCTTCAGAAAAACTCGATTCTTGTTTAAGCGAAAGCTGAAGTGGTCCTGGGAGTAAAGAAGAGATATGAGGGACATCCATACATTCATCCAACCAGAACCTGGAAAAAAAAGAAAAACAGGAAAAAACCTTTGATCCAGTTATCCAGTCCTAAAAAAAAGTAGTCCACCTGCTGTATTACGGGTACTTCATCAGAAAATTACTTCAACGCTTTTGAAATGAAGCTTGTACTTATGAACTGCTCAAGTTTGGAAGCAGGTAACCCAAATATATTAGTCCTATTTCTACTTAATTTCTTCTAGAAAAAAAAATATTTAAGAGTTCCACAAGGGAAAATGGGTCATCAGAAGATCCTCAACAGATTCTAGGCAGGACAAATTCTCTTATTTAGCACTGAATTTTGTCTGCAAGGGTGCCACCCTGGGGTTTGATTCCTGTAAATATGTGAAACATGTTCATACTGTTCTTTTTCAAAACCATAATAGCTTTATTGGTTTAACTGGATGGTTCATCTAGTTCCGTATTCTGTCCCCCAAAACAACCATAAGCAAACGCTTAATGGGGACTAAGGTTAGGGAAAGAAAACTTAATGCTCATCCAGTATTTGTTTCTTTTCAGGGGATTTCTTTGAACTGTTCTGATTTGTCTGTTTAAGAACATGCCACAGACTTTTCTTCCAGCTACCTGAATTCTCATCATCTTCTTCTACCCACAATGTTTCTACACATTCTACTGGGTCCATATACACATACATTGGCCCATATACAACAGAGGAATGGCACAAGGTTCTTTTCAGTAAAAATTTTATCCTTTCTTCTCTGCAAAATTTATTGATAGCATTCATCTGCCCTTTGCCCCAATAAAGTATATACTCTAGATAAAAAATATCCCACCATTCCAGACTGCATCTGGAATAATCTGAGATGATTCTCAGTTCTCTGAAAGATAATGGTTTACGTTTCTGTTACAAAGCAGGGATTTGAAATTTGATATTAAGAAAATGTTCTTTCTCTGTAAGAAAAGACATGATTCAGTGCAGTAGTCATAAACTCTGGATTCAGTTTAGGTCCAACACACATAACAACATAGCTCCTCAGCATTTTCCATTGGAGATTTTGAGCTACTTTACATACATCTCCTTTTAAAGTGTTTAGTTCTTCCTACATGTGTTATAAAGAAATGGGACATTTTGAAGTTAATGCTGCCTAAATCCATCTGCTTTTACAAATTCAGGTTTTAGTAGGTTTGGAAAATTTTGGCTGAAATACTAATAGGGGTTATCATTGTTGGTTTTTGGTGGTTTTGTTTATTTGGATTGGGAGGGGTAAATTGTCTGGTTTAAGTTATACTGTATATGAATTTTTCAGTATTTACAATATTTGTTCTGGGATAGTTGCTGGCAGTTCTCAGCATCACTATCACTATTTCAGTTTTTACTATGAAACATAAATTATTAGTATGTGACATTTATCAACTTAACTTTGAAATTCCCCTCTCGTATATAATTTTGACTGTAAAAAAGCAAACCAACTTTCATAGGTGTGATGTCCTCAAAGATATTTACAAACAATAGTCTAGATTTAAAAATGTATGTAGAAATGATGAACATGAGGAATTCACTTCCTGAATTGCCGTTTGGGAATCAAGCATGAAAAGAGGGATTTTAGATCAAATCTGAATGTTGTGCCTCAGGCCTCGCTCTTCTTTGCAATAGCATCAAAGTTGCTCTGAGTTTTCCAATTAATTTCTTTGAAACACTGTTATTGCCTTGCTTTAATATTTCTTCTCTCTTCTATGCTTTTTTTTTCCCTCCTCTGATAACTATCAAGAAGCTTAATGACTTTTAGTTCCACCCTTGTCCCCTTTCTGGTGGTGTCCGTGAATTTAATTTCTTTCTGAGCTTGTACCTTTGAAAGCTTCATTCCCTCCAGCATTCTGCCTCCTTGTTTCTGTTTTCAGTTTTTTCTAACCTTATTCATGATACGTAATGATAGATAGGGTTTCAGATCTTCTTCTCTTCTCTTAAGAAAATCCTGCTGCTGCTTTCATGGCAGGGAACATGAATTATAAAACACAGTGCAGGAACCTTTTCCTATCTTTATATATCCAGAGAAAGGATGGGTGAAAAATTACTCTGAAGCAGCCCGGCATAAGGCTGGATGTAGCACACAAGATAAAATAAATATGGCTGGCCATGACAAAGGTAGTAGAGGCAGCTAAATGTCTTTTGACTGTCATTTTATGGGTGACTGCAGATGTGTGAGAGACAGATGTTTTCCATTTTGCCTAAAGCTATGCAAATCTGTGAGCTGACAGTAAACTTGAAAATGAAAGATTAAACCACTAATCAGTTCATACAAGGTATCAGCTTTACGTACTTGATGTTTTTAAGTACTCTGCTATTATTAGCTATTAGTTCTTACTATAGGCCTGTGAAGCAGAGGATTCCTGTTAAGCCCTGTGTTTGAGTATGCACAAAGAAACCCAGACTCAGGGCTGAAGCAACTCCATAGATGCCCTTGAGTCTCTTGGTCTGAGTGACTTGCCCAGGTCCACTCAGAGAAACAATAGCAAAGGGTGGGACTAGCATTCAGTAGCTGTTTGGGCTTTACTCACCATCAAGGCCCTAGACTTGAAGCTCTTCAAAAGGTGAAGTTTTAAGTGTCACCCCTGCTCTCTGATCTTTCTATCAGTGGAAATTCAGCATTAAAAAGCTGGTTTGAATTACAGACATGTAGCACCTTCCAATAGTCATTTGAGCAGACAGGCGAATGCAGTTTATATTGAACATCTGAGAAATCCATCTTATTGTTAAAGATATTAAACAACAGCTTCAACATTTCAGATTATTCTTTTAAGCTACTTGGATATCAGCCTCATGAATTCCTAACTGGAATATTTCAGCAATATGACTGTTCTTTCTGAAATTAGATTTGCTTATTAGTTATGTCCCTTGACTGTTATCACTGCCTTTCTGCTTTCTTTTTGTTTTCCGTTCTTTTAGTCTTTTCTCTTGTCATGACCTTTCTTTTCTGTTCTTCTTTGGGGTTTTGTTTTTCAGCAACAAATTTGGGAATTAAGCATTCCACAGATAAAATTATTAAAATGCCATTTAGTAAGATACAAATGGAAGATTAACAAGTGATAACAGAGAATAAACACGTTTTACTCCTCGGTTCAATAAACAGTTAATTTCTGCTAAATGCAAGAACAACCTTTACCAAGCCCACATATGATTTCTCTATGCAACCATTAGTTTTATGATGAAATAAGTAGGTTTTAATTTGCATGTCAAAAATTCCTCAAATTTATCTTTTACATGGCAGCCATGCAGTAAAATAATAGGCAAACTCTTTGCTCCAGCTAAGCAAAAAAAAACCCAAACCAACCAAAGATGCTTTCCTCAATTAAACAAAAAAAATCCTTTACTTCTGAATCTTATTTATGCCCACATCTTTAGATCACTACAACTGATATCCAAATTCCCATTTATAGATGATTATTACCTTTACCGCATTCTCTAACACTGTCACAAATGCTTACCTCACTAGTAAGTCTGGATGCCACCCAGCAATTACACTGAATAAAATCCAATAGCTGAAGGAATGCTGGTGAGCATGATACAGAGGTACAGCAAATTGAAATGGCATTTCAAAATTTTGCTTGATCCTTTCTATTCCGGCCAGGCCAATTACTCAGCTTGTTCTCATTACCTCCTCTGCTATAAGTATTTGATGGTTTGCTGCTGCACACATTATTACATGGAGATAGCAGCAGTTTGCAGCTGCTTTATGAAGAATCATTTCCATAAAGAGGGAAAAACCCCAACCCTGTGTAAACTAAATGTGGAAAACGTAGGAATCTGGTTGCAAATCTCACTTTTGCAGTTTATTGTATGGGAATAGAAAAGTAAATTTGACAAAATTATCAAGCTGTCAGGTTTCTGTTTCAAAGACAGTTGGCCATCATTGCTATTACTGCTCTGCTCCGAATCAACAATAATAGCAATGAGAGTTGGGATCAACCTAGACAACGGTTTCCAATAATAGTTTTACCTGTTTGTTGACCACAGGAGGTTTTTGATAGCAGGGCATTATAGATGATGCCACTTACAAACTATACATGGGCCAGAACTAGTGAAGTAAGCAGGAACAGCTTTTAACTATGCTAGAAACCTGGAACATCAGCTGTAAATCATACAGAAATCTTTGGAACAGCACAATGTGTCTGCAGCTTCACACATTCCTGTAGTGTAGAACAGAATGATTCTCTGGGGCCACTTGACTTCTGTGTCTCTGCTACCAGTGTAATGTTTCTTCTCCTTTCTTTCTACTCACGTCCTTCACAGAATCCTGACACCCTCCAAAGGATACTTGTAGTTTTACTCAGTTATTCTCACAGTTACCTTCATGCTCCAGAGTCGGCTGCAGGGTGTAGTAGGAAAGGTTGCAGAGCTGTTACCACATGGTATTCTGGGTGCATATAGCACCAAATGGAGGGCAAAACATTAAAAAAAAAAAGGCAAGAAAATAAGGGTCTCCTTTCTTCTGGGGAAATAATTGTTCAGAAATTCTGCGACATGCAATACATAGGTGTGTACAGAAAGGGGAAAATAAAAGGTGGAATTTGATATATTAACATTCGAAGTGTTATCAAAAAATAAACAATTGTCCAATTCCATCGGTACAGGAATAGGGAAGCCTGTTGACTTAGCAGACAGACCCTCCTGTTTCAGGTTTGATTTTTTTCTTTCTCATTGAAAGCTGAACTTGCTCAAGTCAAGGTTTTCAGAAAATGCATTCAAATGCATTAATGTTTCTCTGTATTATTTTTATTTCATTTTTTTTTTCAGCATTATAAAGTGACTGAACTTATTTTGCCTTAAATATGAACAACACCACCATTGCCATTCCAGCAGTTATACTGTGCAAAAACCTTTTTCCATGTTCACTTTAGATAATTAAAGATAAAATTTTAGCTAGGTCTCTCTCCCTTGCAACCCTGGACTATTTATAACACAGTGCAGTGCCATCTCAAGACACATGTATTACTGCAGAATGGGTTAGCAGAGATATGAGAACTAGTATATGACAAATTACACCAGGTTTCACTTTAAGGTAACATAGCTATAATGCTTCTGATACTTAAGCCACCAGGGATGCTACCCATAACACAGCGCTCTGATATATGGATATATGCTTAGTTTCTTTAGATTAGTCTCCAGCCTTAGAGAAGCAAATAAGCATTGTTAAAAACATAAAAAAATACTGCAAAGAGGATTTTTTCCCCAAATGCTACCTCACTACTTTTTTTAAAGAAATGAAAGACATTTTAGAAAGTAAGCTTGATACAAGTTCAAGTGGAAAATACCTGGAAGTCTACCACAGTGTGAAAAGTTCTTAAATGCTTATTGATTTCAAGCAATGGAGGTATCTCTTTTAGCAACTGTAAAACTGAACATAATAATGAATTACTCAGAAACTGAGCTAAGCACACGCAATGGGAATATCTCTAAGTTTTATCTTATTTCTTTTCCCCATTTCATTCTCTTGCAATATTTATAATTGTTCCAGTGGGAACAGAGCAAGGCAAATGCTCTGCTCCTGAGAGTTGCACTTGGACAGACCATTAGTCAGAGTGGATGATGGATATCTCATTGTCTTCCATGTTTCAGCATTTAGGGTGTATGAATACAAATGAATTGAAATTGATTCATATTGTTTTCAGAAACAATGAAAGCACAGCTAAATATGTCTAGGCTTCTGTCTGTCTATTAACTAACTCAGTGAGATAGTTTGCACATATCATCTCTCTAAATCTGACCTGGCTCAATTAGTTCTTTGGGGGAAAAAGAAGGCACAGTTAGAATTAAAAATACATTTTTC